TACACAAGGAGCGTTTATTTCATATCAGAAATACTCCCCGATGGATTAATATTTCTTGAGGAGCGGAGACCCCAATTAAAAAAATTATCTTAAATTTTTTATTTAAATTAATTTTAAATAATGTTTGAATGTTCAGTCTACGGGCTTTTCGAGTCTTTTTGCTTATTCAGTGCATGGCTGTACATACACACGAGTATACATAATTCAATTATCTTAATAATTTTCTCATTTATTTATTTTTCAAAATATTACTTCAAAGCCCAAACAATTAATAAATCGTTGTATTTATCGGTAAAAAATCTTATCAAAAAATAAACACTCACTTTACTGCCATACCTTCGCTTAAATACATAGATGATGGTGCTAGAATCGCTGTGAAAATAAGTCACCTAATAAAATATCATAAATAATAGAAAATAAAATAAAATAAAATATATACAAAAAAATAATAAAAACTAAACTTCACTAAAAAATTAAATAATAACAAAAATGAAATAAAGGGACAAAATAAAATAAAATAACAGAACATAAAGCAAACTAAAATAAAACTAAAAAACGTGATACAGACTGAAATAAATAACAATATAATTAAACAATGGGAAATAAAATAAAATAAAAAACCAATAAAATATCCATTGAAATAAAATTTAATTTAATTAAATTAAAACAAAGTAAAATGAAATAAAATAAAATAAAATAAAATAAAATAAAATAAAATAAAATAAAATAAAATAAAATAAAATCAAATAAAATTAAATTAAATTAAATTAAATTAAATTAAATTAAATTAAATTCAATTCAATTCAATTAAATAAAATAAAATAAAATAAAATAAAATAAAATAAAATAAAATAAAATAAAATAAAATAAAATAAAATAAAATAAAATAAAATAAAAGAAAATAAAATAAAATAAAATAAAATAAAATAAAACAAAATAAAATAAAATAAAATAAAATAAAATTAAATTAAATAAAATAAAATAAAATAAAATAAAATAAAATAAAATAAAATAAAATAAAATAAAATGAAACGAAATGAAATAAAATAAAATTAAACTTGATTAAAAAAAAGAAAATTAAGTCAAATAAAATAAAGTCAATGAAAATTATGAAATAAAATAAAGTAAACTGGTCCGGGTGGATAAGAAATACCTGGATATACTTGGAATTTCCAATTGGTGCCAAGCTTCTCGTACTAACGTATTTCGACCTCTTTCTTTCCTTCCCTGCAAACGCGTGTTCCTTTCGGCCGCACGTGTTGTGGTCGATCGCAGTCTCTTCACTGCAGTTCGACATTCCTTACCGTACCAGTTGTTTTTGCGACCTTTCCAAAATCCAATAGTCTCGTTTGCAACTGTGCGTAGGGAGTTTGAAATGACATCCCACAGTTACCTTAAATAAAGTTGATGATTGCTCTCAGAGAGCAGGTGCACAAGTCGAGTAAAAAACCTCTCAGCAGTTTTTTGTGATTGCAGCTTTTCGACGTCTAACCCTTCTTATGTTTGTTGATGGGCGTTCTTCGAGGCGCGTACGTATCTTCGCTGTGACAAGATAGAGATCCGAGTCGATGTTAGGTCCTCGGAACGTACGCACATCTAAAACATTGGATACATGTCTTCCGTCTATCACAACATGATCGATATGGTTGAGAGTTTTTCTTGCTGAATTTTCTTTTGCTGGAATCTAGTTCTATAGACACCCATATTTCGGCCCACGGCGAAGTCGATCAGCATCAGCTCATTTGGGAATGTTTCGTTGTGACGGCTGAATTCTCCGACAGTCGTGCTAAAGATAAGATAATTTTGTAAGGACATCAACCAGCTGGACAGCAGCACCTTCCCAATTATGGGACCGGGCATTACAGGTGCATGTCCTAAAATCGTAATCCTTAAAGCATTTGCGGGGGTCGTCATCAATAAAGGGGTTTCACATCCGAGGCATCATTTTGTTTTTCATTGGATTTTCTTTTTCATGTGGTGCGTCCCAAACCCTACGCACCACCGCATGGGATTCGCCTTCTCACTTTAGCTCGCATCCCAATGGTCTAAGAACGGAAATCGTGAGCAAAGGAATCATTTTTGGCCCCACCCAGCAGAATGGCAGTCGAAATCATTCCTCACTTGCATAAACTTCTTTAATTAATTTAAGGACGTGAAGATACGAAAATGTACGTGAATGCTGTGTTAACTGACTATGAGGGAACTAAGATATCCGTGATAAGATAGTGTAACACTTTGTAGCCGACATCGATATGCATAAACCAGTGAGTTTAGAGGCAGAGGTAACGCTGGTTGGATCATAACTTTCGATACATACCGGTGAGCAAAACCTAAGGTGAATTTGTTTGTAAAATAAAAAATCTATATCGATTTCGTCACCTTCAAAATAGTCCCCTGCCGATGCAATGCTCTTATGCCAATACTTTTTCCAATTATCGAAGCATGTCAAAGAGTCACGTTCTGGCATGACCCTCAGAGAGTGCACCGATTCACGTTAAATCTACTCAATCAACTCAAAACGGTGTCCTTGAAGTGGTCTTTTGACTTTTTGGAAGAGCCAGAAGTCACATGGAGCTAAGTCCGGCGAAACGGTGGTTGGGGAACGATATTCGTGGAATTTTTAGCGAAATGGTCACGAAGAATGAGTGCTGTGTGCATTATCGTCATACAAAAACCACGAAGGCACTTTTAGTCGTTTAGTAAACACAGGCGTAACTAAAATACCAATGAGGACATTGACATTAATTTGGCATAGATGCCAATAGTTAAGCTACCAACATTAAAAAAGGGCAGGAGTGTCGCTTTGCCGCGATACAAAACGTACTAATTGAAGCAGAGGAAGACAAATACCACTCGTGTCGAAAGGTCAAGTGAATAGATGCCTGGCTTCCCCATTACATGGCTCAATTACATACATATATTCGCATATGTAACTAGTGACTACTTCACAGAGTGCTGTGACTTATGACTCATCTGAGTTTATGTGTACGATGTCGTAGATGGAATTATTAAATATGCCAAGTATTTGGGTCGCCAAGAATTTCCGTAGTGGCGTTAAACTGTTATTAACCTTAAGCAGATGTACTCAAAGTTTATGCGCTTATATGCGTTTGTATATATATATATGTACATATGTGCATAAGTAGTTTAAGTAAAAACCTACCAAAGCCATTAACCGAAAGTCACAACGATCATTAACTGCTGAAGGTGACGAATGATGATGCCAATACAAATATTTGACTATTTGCACACCGTCATGTGGGCACGTCTTGTCCAAAGTAAACCAACTTCATAAGGAGACAGGAATGTCAACATGCAAGCGCGATGCTACTGGACTTAACTTCTTTCTTGCAAGCTCAACGAATGATCGACACAACACACAAGCATATACATATGTACACGTATGTATGTACTTCTGTTTGCTTTTATTATTTCTATTTGTGTATATATTTGGTGTGGGATGATGAACGGTTGGCTGGCGAGTTGATTGAATGATCGCCGGTTTGTCGCTTTGATCATGACACATTGCGCATTGACTTTGCACATCCTTTAAAGATGTACAGCTGCGGTCTGACCATCTGACGCTGAGCTCAAGTTCTTGTCCAAGCGAAGCAATCTTTAAGCTCGTCAATTGGCGGCATCACCGGAAGCCACTTACTCACGCTTTGTCGATATGATGAGAGTTGGCGCGGTTACATCAATAAACTTTTCCACCAGATTGTCTATTGGTGCTTAATTTCGCTTTGAATCAAGTTTGTAATCTTCGTATTTAGGATTGTCGGTGTAAGTTGTTCTTTCATAAAGCCGTGAAGCTTATTTATCATATGTTTATGTGGCTTTGACGGATGTTTGTTATTTGCTGCTGATTTTAGTTTTGCATTTTAAGGAGATTTGCTATGATTGGTCAGTCAAGGGCGGTTATTATTTTGCAATCGGAACTAGTTTTCAAGCTTTTCTATTAAGTTTTAAAACTGATTTTCGCTGAGTTTTTTTTTTTTTTGAGGTGGCGGTTGTTGTATGCTTGGGTTGGCGAGTATATTTCGCATACCTCGGAGTCACTGAAACCACCTAATTGCTTTGTTATCTCAGATCTGGTTGCCTTATATCCACTGAAGCTGTTTTCAGCCGAGCAACCAACCGTTACTCTAACCCGCCTCTGAACGGGTGATCAATTCTTATCAGCGGTTTTTAATCTCATGTCAGAAATACAACGGAGTGATTGAATTTTCCTACCAAAGAGCGACCGCAATTAGAAAAATTAAATTGAAATTTATTTTCTATAATTATAAATGGTGGTCCTTAACCACTGGTCGCTACTACGCAGAGAGAGACCATCGCCACTTTATTTGTGGAACCCATCGAGAAATTCCCGCCTGCAGCGAAGAGATGGTCCCGCCCTAGTTTGAAAAGGGCTCAGAGTAAAATAACTCGATCTATGTTCAGCTATCATGTTTGTATTTTAGTTTTTAAGATTTGTATACTTATTGTTAGGCTTATATTATAGCAGATCCAGTAAATAAATGAGTTCTGTATAAAAAAAACTAATTTGTGTGAATAGCATAATCGGAGCTAAAGCGGGCTTAGCTTTCGCCTTTCTAAACAATAACACGGTACACCCAAGATGCCCCTTAAACCAACTTATCTAACACAACTCCTGGCACGCAGAAGTATTTTTGGTAAAAAGTTTCCAGCGGCTCATTTTATTTTTTTCTATTTTCCTTTTTTTCCTATTTTTTTTTTATTTTTTTTTTTTGAAAACTTGAATCTAAGGGAATTTTGTCATTAGTAACGAAAATGCTAGTTCGTGTAGTTTTGAAATAATAATAAATGCCACAATAAGATGGCGCTGTGAAGTAAAATCATAATAAAGGCGAGCTGGCAACAACAACAGCTGTTTTAATATTCGTTAGAAATGAATGTTCAACTGCAGCAACGATAAGTAAATCTAGCATCCTGCGTAAACAGTAATTGTTTCTGACATTTTACGATCTTTTAGTTAAGTACTATAATAATAATTTAGAGCACATTAAATAAAAATTCAATAGAATAAAGCCATTTATTGTAACTAAGGCATTGCGTGCAAATTCAATCAACCCCAAAACAGTAAACAATAATAACCGAAATTAATCGATAAAAATGTTTGATCACAAACTTTCTTTGAATCATATCTTACTATATTTATTCTCCAACAAAAAATAAACAAAGTGTATTTTACACATAAAAGGAATGGCGACATATTATTTCGTTATCGTTGGACACGAAGATAATCCTTTATTTGAAATGGAATTTTCTACAGTCAATAAAGAAATGCGCGTAAGTGAAACAATTAGAATTTTACATACATACCTGTGAGCATCAAATAGATATTTGAATTTTTGTTTTTATTTTATTTTTTTGTTTTTGTTTTTGTTACAGAAAGATGATAGTCGCCATTTGAGTCAATTCATAGCACACGCTGCATTGGATCTGGTGGACGAGCACAAGTGGAGAACGGGTAACATGCAATTGAAATCTATTGATAGATTCAATCAATGGTTCGTATCCGCCTTTGTCTCCGCCAGTCAAGTACGCTTCATCATTGTGCATGACAATAAGAATGATGATGGTATTAAAAATTTTTTTAATGAAATGTATGAAACATATATAAAACATTCCATGAATTCGTTCTATAAAATCAATACGCCTATAAAATCGCCAGTTTTTGAGAAGAAGGCACAGTTGTTCGGCCGAAAGTGTTTGTTATCTTTGTAAATTTGTGTGTAATAATAAATATAGTAAATATAAATATTAGTAATTTATTTGGTGTTTATTTTTCATCATGCACTGTTGGCAGAAAAATTAAAATTTATTAAAATTTAAATCGTCTCATTGAACATTTGTGGATTTCATGTGAATTACTTATTGGGAATATTGGATTTTTGTATAAAATCATACTTAAATTTACTTCGTTATGAACCCTTGTTCAAAATCCAAAGTTTATACCAACAATTTTATTTTTATATCATTAAATTTAAGCCAAAGGTGCTTGGGGTAAAAGCGGACACCAGCGGGTGCTTGTTTGCTGAGAATTGCCACGTTTGAAAGCCATTTGGTGCACTTGAGATGATCACCAGATATATTCAGCTTCTTTTTCCTCTTGGCGTTGCAGCCGCTTACGCGATTATAGCCAAATCAATTATAGCGCGCCATTCATCACTTCTTTTCGCTGTTTGGCGCCAGTTGAAAAGTCAGGTCACTCTCCACCTCATCCTTCCGTCTTACTCTTCCCCTGCTTCCATATTCAGCTACACAACGGACAAAAAACATTTATAAAAACTTTATTTGCTTCCCGGAAGCTACTGCGAAATTTCGGCCGTTCGTTGTGGTATTTACCAAATGTAAAGCAAGAACTGCCAGAAGTAATTTAAGCATACTATTTTTTCTGAATTCCCCAGTAGCATGCATACCTCATCTATCTACGAAGTTAAAATACCGAAGGCCAAGATGTCCCCATACTGCGGGTTATAGGTTCAAGTATTTGTCCACGGCAAGGCATGCCTGTCGTAAGAGGCGACTAAAATACAATAGTTCCCGCGTCAGTGGGGTCTTTATGCCCGAACGACCCGAATTTTTTATCTGGCCAAGGACTGTCACTTCCGCAAAATTCTTCAAATATTACCTTTGAGGAATATTTTTGCGTTTACAACAACAAAAACATGTTTTGCACTGTGCTTACATACATATTTACTGCGCTGAGTGCTCTAAACTTACAAACTCAATTTTCAAAATACAATGGAAGGTATAAAGGAATTGATTATTTAGTATTAATGAAATATTTATTTATTGTTGCACTTCTTGTTGTGGAATACATTGAACATTTAATGCGAATTTTTACTTTTAAAGGATACTTACAATAAAGTTATACATATGTATGTATACAAATAAAACAAAACAAAACAAAAAAAACCTCTAATTCTGAATGTAAAATATCTTTTAAATACTTTCTCTTTTTTATAGTGATTCTTAATATAGCTGAAAACAAAATTAAAGAAAAAGATTAAACAGAGAGCGCGCGCTGCTACATGTTTACAAACAAACAAAAAATTGTTTTTCTTTTATTCACCTCTGTATTATTATTATTATTTTTTCATTCATAATCTTATGCTGAACTCATTTTTTCGTTTTCGTCCCATTTTTTTTTTCTTTAATTCTAAGATATTTATTTTTATACATCACGTAAGATTATCATTGCTTAACATCAAATACAATTTATCTCTTATTAGTTTTACGTTAAGAAAAGAAAACCATTTACACATATGCACAAACCGTTTGTGTGTATGTCACTACTCAGATTCGCATCTAGTATCTACTACAGCATAGCAAAAAATGTTATATTAGAAATTGCAACTTGCTCTCTATTCGTTAAATCTACAAATTATTTATATATTTATTAGTATATATGAATAAATGAAATATATTTCTTTTGATATATTTGCTTGTTTTTTTTTTTCTCATCTGAAAATATATATTATATTTAGTAATTTTTTTTTTTTTATAAATAAATGATTCATATGCGTTTTATCCACATACATACATTATATTGAAAATAATTGCATGGTTTTAAAAACCATTTCGACACAAAAATATACATACTACTAGTACATACTATCAAAGCGCGTACTTATGTGTAAAGTGTATAGCGTGTGTTTGTGTATGCGTCTACTTCTAAAACATACAAAATTGCAATGTACCATTCGAAATCAATTTTGCCTCGGACAATTAGTCAAAAAAAAAAAAAAAGAAAAAGAAAAAAATCCAGTTTTATATAAGTAAAGGTATATGCATGTGTGAAATAGTATACATCCCGGTTGAGTGGAAAGTATTCATGTATCTCGTCTGCATCGCCGTCACCTTCACATATATTGCATTTATTTACAGAGTTTTCGCTTCCGGCGCACACGATACTACTTGGACTTCTTCCCCGCAACAGCATGCCGCTTCTGTTGAATCTTATCTTTGAGATTTTTTATTAGACATTCAATATCTTCCACATTATATGCGTAAATGAGCTTGCATTGTTTCGCCTGTATATTGCCGTTGTTCAGATTCTTCAGCGCGTGTTGCAAGCAATAGACATTGCCTTCTTCTGTTTTAACCATTGAGATATATAAATTAGCACGACATAAATCACACTCACTTTCGATAGATTTGTGTGGTGGTTGTTGCTTTTTCGCTTTAGCACCCTTTTCGTTGGGCACTTTCTCCGTAGATGTAACGCCTGCAGCCTAAAGTACGTACCAAAAAATTAAGGTTGTAATGTTTTTTTTTGTTTGTTTAATTTTCGACTAAACTGCTCTACATACCTTAAGTTGCTCACGCGCGGCCAACTCTTTCTCATAGACCTCTTGCAGCATAGGCAACATTTGTTGCAAGGTGTCCGACGTCACTCGCTGATCATAGCCCAAGGCAAATAGTAGTTGTTCCAAGGAGAACATAGCAGGCTCGCAACTATCATGAATGTCCTTAAAGAAGAAGAAAAAAAAATTAGTATTAAATGACGAAAATGTAAACATTTTCATAAAATCTTACCCTAAAGTCATCCTTAGCCAAATCCAGCCACGAAGTAGTAGCAAAGTACACACTTTCGGAAACCACATAGCCAGTAGCCAAGCTGGAGGTGTAGGCACGTGGAAATACGACAATAAATTCCCCAGGCTTCTGTTCAATGCGACAGAGCGACACACCGCGATCGGTGAGCATATGCGGTGGCACCATGACCGTGTCACAAGGCAGCCAAATAGTTTTATTCTGACAATGTGTGGGAATGAGTGAAGTAAGTGCCGCACGAAAGTTGGCGCTCTGATCATCTGGAATGCCGTACCATAATTTTGAGGCACCTGTATGTAAGTATTCAATCCAGGAGAGTCCATGCGGATCACGATACCAGCAACAGGCAGAGAATAACATGCCCACATGTAGTGTTGGCACGGTAACACCCATTACAGGTCCTAGAGAACGTAAAACCGAGCCTGGATTATTGGTTAGCACTTTGAGGTTCCATGGATGGCGTGCATAATTTGAACCTTTACTCTTCGGCCCGGGACTGGGAAAACCATAACCCCAACCGGATGAATCGATCGAGCCAGAATGCACACAAACATGACTATCGCGCACAGCAACGTGACGCCAAAACTCAGCCTCTACCTCGTTGACAATAGGTTCGGTGTTCTTGAACCACAGCGCCATTGTGTTGCGTGCAATGCGATAGAATTGACTAAGCGGCATACTGCGCCCCTTCACAATACACTCCATAGAGACACCATCAACTTCTTCCTCAGATTCCTCATCATCCTCCGAAGAGACATCATCCTCTTCATTCGATACACTTTCAGTGTTCACAAAACGATCAGCATTCCGTCGCGCACGCGCTTCTCGCTTAGCCCAATCAGCCTCAACTTCGTCGAACAACTTCTGGCGCTCGGCTGGCGATAGCGTATCATAGGGCAATAAATACTTGCAATATATATCGTCGAGTTTCGTCATACGATCTTGCGCCAACTTCGGAATGCACATCTCTTCAGCCACACGAGCCCATTTCTTTTTCTCAATCACCTCCTTTAGACCACCCAACTCCTGCACAGTGTGATAGAGACGCGGCAGATCAACTTCCATGCCTCCGATCCATGGTGGATGGTTCATGACGATACTTTGTGTAGCGAGATATTTTTTAATTGCACTTAGCTCCTTAGCACTTGGACCCCAGCGATGGAGCATCTTGTGCACGTATTGATTGTAGGCCGTAAAACGCATCTCATCGGATATGCGACACTCAGGCTTGAATGTAGCTGGTGGTATTATTTTACAAATACCGAAACGTGCTGCGATAGGTGTGATGCGTTCTATGAAATCTATAGGGTCGGCAAATTCCTTTTCGGTTGGTCGAAAAATGGGCGCCTCCACCATTTGCGTGGGATCATCGTGACGCGGAAAAGCTGTATTATTCGACATTTTAATGGGTGTGTCATCTTTAAATTTCTTATTCGCGCCGCCATGCGTTGAAGGGCCGGGACCTGCCCCGCCCATTCGAGATTTTGCTGAGCCTGAGAACAGTGAAGAGTTGGAATTGACACGGACCAATGGTCCACCAGCGGCCGTACTTGAGGCATTTGCAGCTGCTGCTGATGTTGATGGCAGATTGGATGTATCCGCACCGCTTTTGAAGCGAGGCTGAACAGTGCCAATTGGCACATTTTTCAAACTACTCGACGAGGATTTATCTGCATTAGCTGTCGCTCCATCCGAGCTGCTCATCTGACGTACCGCACTGCCTTTATCGCCTTTTTTCGAATCGTCTTCCGCTGCGCTCTTCGCCCCTGAGGCCAAAGCTGACGTTATGGTTTGTGAACTTGGTATGAGCGTTTTCACAATATCCGCCACATTCATGGATTCCGGTAGTGGTTTCGAATTGGAGCCCATTTGTGCTTTTGTCACCAATGTGGCGTGCATGATGACCTTTTGATTTGGTCCATCTGGACCTTCACGTCCCAGTTTCACAGCAACACCTTGTATGCCTCCTTCACCATCGCCGCCGGTGCCAACACCTTGTAAGGGTATATAGAATGTATGACCCTCGGAGTCTGAGTCGGCATCATTGTTTGTAAGCTCTTGCTTCTTTCCAGCTTTTGTAGCTTTTGAGGCGTTGGCTTTACTACTCACGCCTGGCTTTTCAGAATCTAAACTCACTTTAACGAGTTTACAATTTTCCGACGGACTCAAAGTCAAGGAGACTGAACTGTTTTGCGATTTACCAGTTGCTTCTTTATTTGACTTCTCGGCGGTGCTGGACGTCGTCGCTGCTGCTGCTGCTGTTGTTGCTGCCGCTGCACGTTTCTTACCTGGTGAAGCTTTACTTGTGGGCGTGTTTGGTGTAGACTCTTCATTTTGCGAGTCTCGGCCGCTTTGGCGTCTAAATGCCGGCGTAGTGTGCTGTAGTTTAGTGCCCTCCGCTTCATCGTCATCCTTATCGAAGGAATAAATGGATTTTTCATTATCCGCAGAAAATGCTCCGTAAGAGAATGGCGCAGACTTCTTATGACTGGTTGTTGTTGTTTCTTTAAGTTCTATTTGCTTTTGTTGGTTTTTCTGATTGTAAACTGGCGTGCGCTTCGGTGTTTTCGCCGCTGCTGCCGAACTGCTGATGGGGAGAGTATTTAGTGCAGGTTTCACTGGGGTAGTAGTGGCAGGGTTCTTCTCGTCTGTTGTTGGGGGCACCGCTGAGTTTAAAGTATTCTTCTTTCGATTTTGTTTTGGCGTTGATGCAACGTCTGAAGAGGGCTGTTGAGCAGCTGTTGACATCTGAGACTGTGCCTGCTTGGCAGCAGCAGCAGTTGATTTGGAGATCGTACTAGAGCTTGTGGGTGTGTCTTTTTCCTTTTCCTGTTTACTGTGCTTATTGTCTTTGACGTTGGCTTCATGCATCGTCTTCTCTTCTTTCAATTTTTTAACTGCTGTAGTTTTTTTCTCTGATTTTTCAGCTCGTGTTGCTTTGGCTGGCGTTGGCGTCTCACTTCTTGCGTTCGCATTAGAGCTCGTCTTTGCATTCGATTTTTGCGTAAGATTAATTGCATGACCACTAGTCCGATCATTTTCAACGGCTATATCCATTGGATTAACCGTATCCATGAGTTTGCCATCGTCCTTTCGACTACTCGTTGCTATTACTGGCGTTGCCTTTAGCGACGGTCCTTTAGCGGACCAGGCGCTTTCACTCTTACCCAAATCACGCGTTGCCTTCGACGATGAACTGAAGGACGTGCTCTCCTTATCGTCACGCGTGGGCGGCGGTGTCGTTGCGAAAAGATTTGGTCGCAAATTATCGTCAAAGTCGTCGTCTAAGTCATCCTGTATTTCATCCGGATTTGATGAGCATTCAATCAGCCACTTTTGTATTTGCTCATGCGTCATATTGACTTTCGCTTTCCGTCGCTCTTTACTCGACAACTGATCACCAATATAACCTTCTGTGGGCACAACCGGACCCAATACTGGTTTATGTATAGAACCGCACTTTCCCAACGTACACTTTGTGTTGTCTGGTCCTGAGCTTTGCGCCAGACTCACGCTAGCTATGCCAAAAACTTTGCCCGACTCCTCCTTGCTGGGCATTAGGCTGGCTGTAAGTATGCTGCCGATCTCATCTTTTAATGGATCTGCCGAAGCAGCAGTGGCACCGGCTATAGCCGAAGTATTTACAGTGGTACCGGCTGTCATAGCCATCGAAGTTCCAGCACCAGGAATGCTCATTTTCGATGCCAAAGATGAATTACCCAGACCGCTTTTATTCACGGATGTCAAGTCGAATTTCACCGGTGATGGTGAGGGGAAATTGTTTGTACGCGGTAAGGTGGTACGGTCGAATTTCGGTGTAAGGAAGTTAGGATTTATCTTCGGCGATGGATATGCCTCAATTGGTGGTGGATACGTTGTTGGAGCGGCTGGATACTTCAATGGAGATTGCGGTGGCATTGGCGCCTGCAAATGTGGTGGCAATGTGGGAGTACCCGCAGTTGTCGGTGGCGCAGTTGGTGATTTTGCCGTGGGAAAGGTGTGTGCCGGTGGGCGTACATGTTGTGTGTGATAATGTGGAGAGGCTGGTGGTAAATAATTGGGCGTCTTATTAAAAGCGGCATTCATTGCCATATTCACATTTGCCGTTGGTGGTGTAACCGATGAGTGTATTGCATACGTGGCTGGTACATTCAAAATTTTAGAAGTTGGTATGGGTGACTTCTTTTCAATAGTTTTAAATGGACTGGGTATCTGCGGCGTTGAGCTCAGTGGCATTCCTGCCGCTGTTATTGGCGAAGCATTACTCACTGGTGTAGCTGGAGTAAGCGGTGGCGTGGATATCGGTTTAGTGGTAATAGGTAACATCACAAGTTGATTAGGTGGCGCAATGCTCTGAGGCGTGCTGTCTAATTTTCTGGAATCTGAGTGTTCGGAATCTTTATCATTCGGTTTTATGTTAGCTTTAATAGCAAGCGGCTCATCATCGGAATCACTAAAACTTTTCTCAAGCTTCCGTTTGGTTTCGTTCAATTCTTTGTTTAACAAAAAGTCTTCATCTTCGTCGGTATCAGCTTTGCTGGCATCTGATTTTTGCTTGGTATTTGGTGTGACGTTGTCCACCGCTGTTGGTATTTTGGGAATTGCTCCTTTCTTTACCAACATCCCTTCAATTTCACGCTTAACTGGTACTTGCTTGGGTTGTTTTGGAGGTCGACCACGTCGACCAGTCGGTGGCTTCTCAGCAGGTGCAGGTGATTCTACAACTACGGGTTTTGGTGGTTCCTTTTGACTAATCGTTGTTGCGACTGCTGAATTCGTAGTGCCACCGGTAGCTGCATTTCTTTTCAATTCATTTTCCATCTTTTCCATTTCTTTGACATTTGGCCGATCGGGAAAACTACTTAGGGATAAGTCATCTTCTTCATCCTCTGCCAATTGAAGTTTATGGCCGATTATTCCCATATAAATGGCAGCTGCCTCTTTTGTTTTTCGCGATGGTCGTTGAAGCCTTGCATTCCCACTTGTGTTTGCCTCCCTTTCGCCTTCACCGTTTACAGTGGAATTATCTGACTTGGTTTTTTTGTTAATTATTTGTCGCACAGGCGACTGTTTTTTTGGTGATGGCGGTGGTGCTACTTCTTTTTCAACTTCGTTCTCTTCCTCCGCTTTCTTTTTGGCAATTCTACCCCTGCCTCTGCCTTTAGGCTTAATAACAATTTGCTGCTTATCTTCTGGTACTTCATTCTTTTCATTACCATTAGCAAAGCTGTTTATTAGATCTTCTTTTTTATTCTCAGGCGCTTCCTCTGCGGCTGCTAATGGCGGATCTTGCTTTGTCTCCGCATTGGATTTTTTTGGACTCCCTTTCTTAGTTAACTTTGGCGCACGACCCACCGCTTTCTTTGCACCACCTTTTGGACCTTTTTTCAGCTTCATAGATTTCGCCAAAGGTTGTTCGTCGTCTGAAGAAAAATCAAAAACATTCAACTTGTCTTTATTTTCAATATTTAATACTTCGCTAGCAAATTTTTTTCCTTTCTTAGCACTTTTTTGAGCAGATTGCGTTTCATGACATTCTGTTGTATCATTAAATGTATCTTCGGTTTTCTTTCCTGCTTCACCTGTTTTCTCTTCCTCCACATCTTCTGTGTGTATCACTTTTACTGGTTCAAAAAATGCACGTTGCCTTGTCATACGGCCCGAAGGTTCTGGCGATGGTATAAATATTGGCGACTCCTTTTGTCGGGGTCGCTTTACTGGCGCTTTTTCTTTAGCCTTTGGTTTCTCATCTGTTTTTTGTGTAGTTTTATTATGGTCTTTCGAATTTATTTCCACCTGTACATCTTCTACTGGAGTATCCTTGCCTTTTTTTGCTGCTGATGGAGGCCTACCTTTGCGTGAACGACCAGTTTCACTTTCTTTTGATGGTGTTTCTGATTTACGCTCCTGTATTGTTGGGGTTTTCGACTTCTTAGAGTCGACCTTACGCACTGAATTTGATTCCTTTTCCGAATCGTCAATTTTAGTGGCATCATCTTTTGCTGAATAAAATTCATCATCTTCCTCACTTTCATGTTCAACACTTTGCTGAGTTTCTTTTGCACCACCCCGAATAGAACGTCTTTTTGTTTCCGGTGAATTATTGCACTTATCAGCCTCAGATGTTTGGCTGGGCTGGTCAGTTGGTGGGCGACTTCGACGGTTGCCACCAGGAACTACTTCAGCACGCTTTCTAACTGCGAACGGTATGTTATTGTTTTCCGCATTCTCGGTTTTTTCTTCCGGATTAATAGGAGGTTTTGTATCTGATGCTTCTACTTTGGTTTCAGTAACTTTTGTTGCAGCTTGGCTTATTGCTTGTTTAGATGTTGATGCTTTTGGTTCTTCTTTCTTTGTGGTGCTGCCTTTTGGTCGCCCTTTCTTTCCTTTTTTGCCACCCTTAACCGGTTTAGGAGGTGATTTCTTTACCGTATCTTCTGGTTCTTTCGCTTTCCCTTGATTTAAAAAGTCTAAGTGCGCCGGTAATGCAGGTGTACCACGAAAACATAAAAATGTTAGAAAATCTTCGGTTTTTGGACGCTTGTTTGGTAAAATTTCCGTTGGTGGTTCGCGACTCTCTGAAGACGTACTTGGTCCTGTATTTGAAGACGAGGAGGCTGCTATTACGGAGCTGTATGATGATGTTGGTGCATTCTGACCTTGTGCAAACTTTCGTTGAGCTTGAACTTTTGTTCTATGTTTGAAAGATACAGAGATACAGAGAATTACCTTTTAGTGAGGTATGTAAATAAATATCGCAACAATATAAATAAATTAAATATAAATATATATTATATAAACAAAAAAATATGTTTCCATTATTATTATTAGTTTTTCTTGTCAGGAAATAAGAGAATAATGGAAAAAGAAAACGTGTAAATACCTTAAGCTTTCTATCACTCAATCAATACAATATTGAAAACATTAAAAAAATATTAGATATTTTTTATACTTTACGTTAATTGCAATTTAACAAATATTACGTTAATTTCAATTTAGCACGACATATTTTTATTCGATATTAAAATTACAAGTGATCAGAATATTTACTTGAATATGCGCAAACAAAGCTGTTTCTTATACTGCCACTATATTTATGTACAGTAAATGACTTCAGAACTAATTTTTGTCCTACATGATTACTTTTACATATAAATTAATTCACAAGCAGCGTACATAATCACAATATTTATATATGCGCTTATAAATGAATGTCGGTTATTTTTTTTCTATAACAGAAATATAAGTTCACGCACAGCCCACACAAATTACTGTTTACCCTTTTAGTGCGGACGAATTGTAAATAAAAAAAATATATATATACTGATCACATATATCGAGGCTTCTTAATAATTTAACACAGTGCTTACCGTTTAGGTATTTCTGGTGACGACTCCACCGTCGTCGGTTGAGGTGGCGGTGACTCTTTGCGTTTCCGCTTAGAGTCTTTGGATACGACCATCTTTCATCCGACCCTTTCGCCCCTTCTCCTATTTAACCTTTTCAATTCACACTTGAGTTCACTCGAGAAAATTTATGTGCGTTGTTGTCCAGCCGGTTGAAAAATTTATTAAATACAATCGCTCATTTGCTTATAGGGAATAACTATTTCGTACGAGTTTTTATTATCAGTTCTTATTTAATTTTAGTTAAAATGTGTACAAATCGCATAAATTACTCCAATTTACACACACCACCACCAAAACTGCCCATTTTTTCCATTTGCAAAATTTTCATCGACGTCGTAACTTGGAAACTTAACTCCATTTTCTATTACTTTCACTGCATACTGTTGCACGCAAGTACTTGCTTTCAATCAGTTTAAGTTCACAGCATTAATTTTTAATATTTGTTAAAATTTTTGACACATTTTTATAAGGAAAAATATTATTTGAAAAATATTTTATTTTCTCCAACAATTCGCAATCTTTTTGCGTTTTTCCAGTAACTCCACAACTGTTTGCTTTGTGTCATGGCGGACAATGTACAGAGATGTATTTTGTGGCACCTCATTTCAATGAAAGTTTGAAGAGGTCTGTATTACTACAGATTTGCTAAAACAACCAACATTAAATTATTTTATTACAATTTCTAGAATATTTTTCTTTACAAATTTAATATTATCTTTCTAAAAACAATTTTATGGAGAGTTTATATTCTTCATATCATCAGTGCGGCGTTTAGCGCCAAAAAATCTGAAAAAACAGTGTTGCGAGGGAAATTAAAGAGTGCCACTGCTACGTAGTGTCGATTCATTTAGTATTTTGCTGAACATTATGGTAGAGTAACCATGAGCAAAAGATACGCTGATGTTTGTCTACCGTTTCTCTGATTGGTATTATAACAAGTTTTAAAAATTTTAAGCAGCTGCCACAATAATCTAGTCCACTAATCACCACTTCATTGAGTATTTTCGAAAGTAGTTAATAGTTGAAACATATAAACCATGTGTGCTGTACCATTAATAACTGATTTATTTGTTTACGACTTTAAACACCACTAGCTGCTTAATAAACTTGGCAATCCTGTCCATATATACGTTGTGAATTGCATTTTTACTTTTGTGTCAAAAAAATAATTGTCAATAATCTTCTGACCTGTATTATTAGAATATCGCTCCAACTAATAAAATTTTAACAAAAATACCATGTCCGACGGTGCAGGCAGTTGGTGTTTAATTGAGAGCGATCCTGGCGTTTTTACTGAACTTATACGCGATTTCGGTAAGGATATTATTAGTTCTGTTGTCTATAATTGCCGGCTTCTATTATTGTATTTTGGGCAAAAATTGTGTGCATTTAATAAGAAATATTTAAAATATTGAAAGCTCTTAACATTTTCATGATTAAAATAGTTCAAAGTTAAGTTAAGGTACTGTGTTGTATTGTGTATATACTAGCTGGATATGATTGAAGTCCACTACATACATAAGTATGTAAGTACGACGTGCATGCATCCATTTATGGAGCCAATAAATATTTAACACGTTTTGAATTTACAAAAGTTTCAACATTATATACGATTTCTTTACTTTATAGGTTGCGAGGGCGTACAAGTAGAGGAAATATGGAGCCTAGATCCTGATTTATTTAAAGATCTTGAACCAATACATGGCCTAATTTTTCTATTCAAATGGGTACAGGACGAAGAAACGACGGGCACAGTGGTCAAAGACGATCGTCTTGATAACATCTTCTTTGCCAAACAAGTTATTAATAATGCTTGCGCCACCCAGGCAATTCTTAGTATACTACTAAATTGTCAACATAAGGATATTAAATTGGGACCCACTCTCAGTGAATTCAAAGAATTTTCTCAATCATTTGATCCATTCAACAAAGGTTTAACCTTAAGTAATGCACCAAAAATACGTTCAGTACATAACTCGTTCGCACGGCAAACACTCTACGAGCTGGATACGAAGAACCAAAATAAAGATGATGATGTATTTCATTTCATCGGTTATATACCAATTAATGGACGTTTATATGAGCTAGACGGTTTGAAAGAGGGTCCAGTAGATTTAGGCGCTGTGGAAGCAAATCAAAATTGGATAGACGTTGTGCGTCCGATTATTGAAAAGCGAATGCAAAAGTACAGCGAAGGTGAAATACATTTCAATCTTATGGCAATTGTGTCGGATCGTTTGAAAATTTATCAGCAAAAAATTGATGAACTAACGAACACTGATGACGATTCAATGTATACAGACGAGGATATGCAAGCTGAAGTAGCTAAGTTGCGTTCAAAAATGGATTATGAAGCTGAGAAGCGAAAACGTTATAAGGCAAGTATGTGTAATTTGTTGTTATTTTATAATGTTTATATGTATATTTATGTATGCAGGTTGAAAATATACGACGAAAACACAATTATTTACCGTTTATAGTTGAATTGCTAAAAATGTTGGGTGAGCAGGGCCAATTAATGCCTATCTATGAAAAAGCTAAACAACGAGCCGTTGAAAGAGAAGCTGCCGCTTCGAAGAGTAAATCTTAGATTCTAACCACATTCAATTCTTACTTATGTCTCATTGAAAACATTTGTAAATGCTAATATTTATAAAACTTGGTAAATCACCACCACCACCATTCGTTTTTACATACAAATAAATATATTGCTAACGGATTGACTGCCGAGTAGAATATACTTACATCCATAAACGGATTCCCTTAAGGATTGTTTAAATATTTGAAAAATAAATTGAATTAGCTGAATAAATCGTAATTTCTGCTAATAAAAGTAGCAAATTGTCTTATTTTAAAACTTGCATTTATGGTAATTGAATTTGAAACTTCAAATTTTTTGATTTATTATATTTGTAATATATTTCAATTATTAGCATTAATATATTTAATATATAATTTAATGTATATATAGTTGATCTTTATTACAATATGTATACTATTCTGATTTTATTGCATTTTGCATTTATAATAATGTAAGTATTGTATATAGGAATTTTATGTTAATCAGTGATTTTGTCGGTTTCTAGGTTATAATCCATAAATATTTTCATTATGGACTAACTTGAAGGGTTTTGATTCTAGTTTGGTGTTGTAATGCAAATTTTGGAATTTATTTCTATGTGCGAGGATATTTGATTTATTTACGTACATATGTATGTATGTATGTTGTATATAGTCTTTTGAAGATTATTATTATTCAAAGCAAAATAACAACAAAATACAACTAACTAAGAAACACATGAGGATGGCATGTTAATTTATATACAGACGCTGAAATTAACTGAAAAATTTTCATTTCAATGCGTAAATGAGTTGAATTTGGGAAAACGCAATGGTACTGCGTACTCTAACAGACTCTGTCAGCAAAAATTGAGTTTAAAGAAATTTAAGATTAACGAAATATTAAGAACATTAATTTACATACAAACATACGAGTACATATTTCTAGTTCTGATTGCATTTCATTCAAAGTTACCTTTTTGATATTTCCAATGTATTATTTTTGATTTACTTGATTTGAATTCATTTGCTTATTTATTATACTTTTACCTTACTATATTTTATGGTTAACCTTTATATATGTATGCAAGTGGCTTAATACTCTTATGTATTTGCCATTTCAATTGATTAACTTTGCTTTTTTGCTATTTAGCTATTTTATATACTACAATAACTTGTTCTTGTTTCATTTTGCATTTTCTTTTAAGTTCTTTTCTCGTTTTCGTACACATTTCCCTTTATCAAAAAACAATTTTTCAAATTAACTACCATAATTCCTAAATTTAGCACTTACGAATACTTTTAAACTTTAATTAACATAATTTTGTTTTTGTTTTTTGTTTTTGCATGAATTTTTGAAGACACAACAGTTTCGGGTCCAGTTCCAGGATGTATAATTTCGAGTATAATTTTGTTTTAGTTTCTCCACTGCGCTCCACCACCTAAGCACCTCACGTGACAAATTCTCCATAATAGTGTTCACAAACCCATTTAACGGTTATTGTTAGGTTTTAAAACCATCAGGATGTGTCGTTTGTGCGATTGATTGTTGAGCGGGTTGACTTGTGGGCAGCGTTTCATTATTTTCTCTGTGAACTGTAATTGGAATAAATGATTGTTTTTGTTTTTGTTTTTTTTTTTTCATTTGGTTTCTCTTATCTAACAAGTTAATAAGTCTGATGATGCTTTCCACATTTTTGCTATATCATTTCGGTACCATATCAAAGTGGTATTGTTAAATTTGGAAAAAATTGATTTGTCTGATTAAATTGATTTGCCGAATTATATGGATAATGGTGTGGATTGTACGGTGAAAAGCAATTGTTTGTTGTTGGTAATGATGATATACCTGCTGCCTGCATACGATTATACAAATTCTTTTTCTTCTTCTTTAAAATCAAATCCAAATTGTAGCCCTCCGTGGTCGTTCTGAAATTTAAATTAAATGAGTGCAAAAAAAAAAATTATCTTTCATCTCCACATTTCAAACTCACTTTTCTAAACGATTCATTCCCAATAAATCCTTGAAGGATAAGTATATTTTGTTGAGTGTCAAATTTGGTAATCCCTGTCCCAAATATCGTACAAACTTGACCTGTTCACATTTGGGTAAACCGCTCTCATGGAAGTCCAAAAAGGGTCGATGATCGGATATCTTATATTCCTGTAAATTTATGAGAGTCGTGAAGAAAAGAAGAAAAAATGTTAAAAAATTGTATGAAGTATTTTTTTTTTAGTTTTTGAATAAGAAATTCTTGTAGATGTGCTTGTTTTTACTACGCGGGCTTTGCCATAAATCAGCGGTTACAAACTGAGCTCCCAGAAAAAATGCTCATGCGTTTAAGGTTAATCCTTAAACTAAATCAAAGCGTAATGATCGCATAGGAGGGGAATAATATCGATTTTCATGGCGAAAGAAAGTTGGAAGTTTGGTATTGCCTGTCTTTTAAGTTTCGGCTTTCAGAAAGTATTTTTTGCTTCGAGTTGTTGAACACGGCAGCACTTCGAGGAAAGGAAAAAAAATCATTACTCGTAACTTAAGAGCCAAACAGGCTGCTTTTGTTGTTGTCGCCGCACAAATATTCCCCAAAGTAGTTTTTGGAGAACGTTGAAGGGGTGTCAGTCTTTGCCCGGACAAAAATCTCGGTCGTTCCAGTTTAAAATCTTGACTGTCGCGGGTATTTTTGGATTTTATTCGCCTTTTACGACAGCGATGTGAAAATTCTTGAACATCTACTCCGCAAGGTCATTAGCTGAGCGATGTTGTTGCTGTAGCGTTACGCTAAACTCGCTTATGGCTAGTTTAATCAATCTAAATCAACGAGGTCATCTAACGAGAGGTCCAGGAAAGGTGCTGTTTCGATGCGATCGGACCAAAGGGAGATGGGTGTTAGAAGCGTCGGTTTTAAGGGGCATGTAAAGAGGTAATTAGTGTCGTGCGGAAACTCTCTACATATAGGAGATACGTGGGAAATGTTGGGGTCGAGTTTGGATAGGTGGAAGTTTGGCCTTATACAGTATCCAGACCTAAGTTGCGCCAATGATTGGCTGTCCGATCATTAATTACGCTGCATAGATTTGGACGACGGTGACTAACGAGACGCAGTTGAAGAAGCTGCAAAGCTTGCCAGAACAGCATACCGCGGGCTGTGACGGAAAAACTATTCATGTCGTCCATGCGTAACTTACACAGTGAAACATCTATGCTCTCAGTTAATGTTATAGTGTGTAAAAAGTATCTGCAGGTAAACTACCGTCGCTGAACCACCTGAGTTGAGAGACTCCATGCAGCATTTTTGAACTAAATCGCTAAACAGAACGGCATTTCGACAGCCATACACAGAAGTTTTGTCAAGTTCTTCCTTAGCCCTCTTCTCTTGTATGGCGTACTTGGAAACCAAGCTCCACCCATTGCAGAGCAAGAGCTTGATATTATAGTCGAATTAACACTTACCTAACCAGACTTAAACCCGACATACTGAACGTATGTCCCGCTTGAAATGTGTCCCCGCATGACACTAATCTATCTTGCTTAGGTCCGAAACTGTCTAATCCCCCAGGACTCAGACTGATTTTGCCTACCTTTAAGCGGAGTTTAATAGTCGCTACATCAAAAACAACATTAATAGATATACCTACTGTCTGAAACTCGGCATTTGAATTGATTCCTGCTAAACCTAACAGAAAAGGACTTCAAATATATTTGAAGAAATTGTGCCTCCGAACGGCTGATGGTATCTTATGAGGAGCTTTATTTCATGTCCAAACTACACTCGGAGGGGTTGACATTCGCTGCCGAGGGGCGACCGCAATTAGAAAATTTAGCTTAATTTTTTATTTAAATTCATTTTCTATAACTTTTTGAATGTTAGTACGACACCAAGATTTGAACCTGAGCCTTCTGAATGGCAGTAGGCCGCTAGAAAATACTCTTAGAAATAATATAGAATTTGTCCCAAAGGTCCACAAGACCAAGAAGTAAGTATAGAAGAGCGGAGATTGGAGCGCGCCAAGCGGTAAAACCGTCCATTCGAGCACTCCAACTAAGTGACACTCTTATTTAGAACCCATTGATATGTCTCTCTATGGTCGGTACTACAAACAAAAATATTTATTGTTATTTAAAAAAATTTATAAATAATTTAAATTGATAAAAGTGTAAAAAAAATTAAAACATCCGCCATTTTTTTTATTTTTATTTTTTTGATGAAAATGTTTTATGCCAAAAGGGACCTGTTTCAGCAGCATTTTTAAGAGCTGCCACTAAAAAAAATTCAATTAATATTTTTATACGTTACTTATCTACAAAAACTTTGATTCAATCATTTTTTTTATTTTGTAAGCAAATAAATTTTTTTTTGCAAAAAACACGTTTTTGGGAGGAATCTGGCCTTAATACGAAAATTTGGTATCATTCAACCGATTTTTTCCGATGCGAAATTTTGGGCTTTAAATCCGTTAAAAAATACATCCGCCATTTTTTTTTTTTTTTTTAATGGAAATGTTTTATGCCAGCTATATTCAATGTGATTAAGAATGAGAAACCGTTATAAATTTTGCTTCCAGATGATTCGTTTTACATTTATCGTGTCGCTCACCAACGAAAGGGGCGTGTTTCAGCTGCAATTATAAGAGCTGCCATTAAAAAAAAAATCAATTAAAATTTTTATACGTTACTTATCTGCAAAAACTTTGATTAAATCACTTTTTTTTTTATTTGGTAAATAAATAAATTTTTTTTTTTGCAAAAAAAACACGTTTTTGTGAGGACCTGGCCTTAATACGAAAATTTGGTATCATTCAACCGAGGTTTTGGGACTTAAATCCGTTAAAAAATACACTAAGAGCATTGAAATTTCATTAATTTAATTTTATAATTTGACACACACCTATATATGTACAAATAAACATAAGCTTCGAATTTAGAGGACTATATCATGTAGCTGATTTGTTCAGATATGAACTTTTGTATGTCAAATCCGTCGAAAAAACATCTACAAGCATAAAATTTGGCATTCTTCTTCTTCTTTTTTGTTGCATTCTATGCCTCTGTGCGTTTGTGTAAAAAATCCCACGAATGCGAATACAATGTAAACAAGCCTCTTTTTTCGCTATAAACTATAAATATAAATACTCAAATCTTATATGGACCACAGAAAGTCAGAAAAATAAAAATAAAAAACGGAAAAAGTTTGCATTTTTAAGTATGAAAGCACGCATTTCTATAAGCTTATACATACATATGTATGTTTGTATGTGTGTACACTGTACATGACATCATTATATACGAGTTGTGTTCAAAAAGTATCGCGAATTTTGAATTTTCGCGGGTTACGTATAATCGAATTTCGATTTTTTTGTGGCGTTATGTTGGTACTCATGTCTGTCTGTTTGTATGCCGACAAGTTCGGCCATTTTGAATGTTCACTTAATTGTTGATAGCTGCTTTGCTTGCACGTGTTTTGGATGGTCTTCGATTTTTACCTATCCAAAAAAATGGATCAAAGAACCAGTAGAAAATTTTTGAAAAACGAAATTAAGTGCGCGGATGCATTCCGAAAGTTGATTGTGACATACGGAGAAGCTACCTTGGACCGAAGCAACGTTTATCGGTGGTACAAAATGTTCTCAGAAGGCCGAGAAGTTGTGAACGACGAAGAGCGTACCGGACGCCCGAGCACTTCGACAACAGACGAAATATTAATGAAGTGGAGAAAATGGTATTGCCACAGGGTAGAACGGTCAATAAGGAATATTACCTGCAAGTTACGCGCAATTTGTGCGAAGCGATTCGCAAGAAACGCCCGGATTTGTGGAAGAACAAAAATTGGCTTTTGCACCACGATAACGCCCCTGCTCACACATCGTTGCTTGTGCGCGACACACTAATGATGCCGCAGTCACCGCATTCACCCTGTGACTTTTTCTTGTGCCCTAAACTAAAGACGCCCATGAAAGGACGACGTTACGCTATGATTGACGAGATAAAGACGGCATCGAAGGAGGAGCTGAACAAGATAAAAAAAAATGATTTTTTCAAGTGCTTCGAGGATTGGAAAAACCGTTGGCATAAGTGTATAATATATCACGAGGATTACTTTGAGGGCGGCCAAATTGGATATTCATGAATAAATAAATAATTTTTGAAAAAAAAAACACAAAATTCGCGATATTCTTTGAACACAGCTCGTATGTATGTGCATATGTAGTGTTTCTGAATACAATTGTATGCGTCATGTATGTGTATGTATGTGTCATGTATATGTATCTATGTATGCCATTTTACGCTTCCTGCTGTTTGCTCACATTGCAGAATTTGCTGAAGTTTTCGACGAGTATGTACTTTTCGTAAAAGGTTACCGTTTGATTACTCTGAATACCGAACTGTTTAAATAATTCCTGCTTTTTTGGCGGCAAACGCGTTATATGTGTACAGACCCCATCCTCAACACGATGCGTTTCGTGTACATCGAAATTTTCATATATTAATAAATTTTCCAAAACTTTTGGCATCAAACATCTCGCCGGTAATGACGAATCAAAATTGCTACTGCCCACTCTGGGTGCGCCGCTGCTATCCAACGCATTCGGTCCGAAATCGATACTATCGTTAGATTGCTGTTGCACCATGTTTTTCAAATCTATGAAATATATATATATATATATACATAAATATAAAGGAAATATTATTAACAATAATTTAAAATTAACTTGAATAATTTTTTGAATAAATAATTCATATTTTTTAAATTTGAAGCCAACAAAAAAAAAAACATTAAAAAACTTCTATAAAAATAATTAAAAGATTTTTTTTATGGTATGAAGGTTTTGAACTAAAAAAAACCCGCTTCGTTTGAAGAAACCTTTTACTCGATATACACATACATATGTAGCTCTTAACTTTTAACTCGAATCCAACATTTATATCAATTAGGAAGGGCCATTAACCATGTAACTATAGCCCGGAGGAGGAGATGAGAACAAAGCTACCAAGTTTTCTTCAGATGAAAATATTATACAAGGTTATTGACACTTGCTGACCCACAAACATATATCTGCAAGGGACTTAAAATAGAAATCACCTAGGAAACGATGTCGGGCCGCACTTGTGATGGGGTAGTGATGGAAGTGGTGCTCCACCAACTCCCTGAAGCCATGACAGAAGACTTAAGAGAAGTAACGCATCCTCCTACCATGAGTCCCTATCCACGAGTATCTAGTAATTTACGCCTATTGCTATGATCGCGGAAGTTCTGCTTGGAAGCAGTAGAGACTTAGTTCTTTTTGCATCGATCAATGGCCAAAACAGCCATCTGCCTTGCAGGTGAAGACCGATTTTAGAGAGATATGCCTGCATTGTGCACAAAGTTTACCGTCATTAGAGCTGTACCCCTTCCTGCTAGATCGTCGGTCTCGCAATTTTCGTGGCTGTCACAATGTTCGGGGACCCAATTCGTGCAGTTGAGAATTTGTTTATGATTTCCCTTACTCATTCTGCCATTGAGGTTTTGACCCGCCAGTGAAGATGGATACGGATCTTTGATCCAGAACTTTTACGTTTTCACATTCATACCTCACTATGATTTTTGTGGTGTAGTCCACCACTTCTGAGAATGGTGTTGAATTCAGTATTCGGGCGTGCTCTGTATGCTTTCTCGAAGTCTGAATTGATTTTGGACGTACAGCGTCAAATTTTTACAATATTTAGACATTTTTGAAATAACCAGTAACGGTATTAGGGATCTGAAACTTGCAGCATTCAAGGATATAATTGGAACTTTGTACCAACTTTCCTTGGAAGGTTCAACCTGATAAATTTCCGAAGGACGCTACCCTATACTTATCATTAGGTCATAGTGTCCAGCGGTTCTTGTCTAGATTGCTGTATGGATTCGTTATGTACAAGTACTCCCTTTCTGTTCTGCCTGGGCGAAGATTCCTCTTTAAGTGGTCTTGTGCTGGGTTGATCCTGACGATACCATCCCAGCAAATTTTACTTACAGAGCATAAAGTTATGTTAATCAACTGAGATCATAGTTGCTTTGCGTTATACATAAGTGATACGTCGTCAGTAAGATTTCTATAACGGTCGGTGTTCTGTCCCTTGTTTAATTTGACCACGAAAACTCTATCGAAGACTGTCAGCCTTTCAGTAAACTCATGGCTCACCTCTTCAACACAGGCGGTTTTTAGGAAATCTCTATGTCGGATAGTAGCATTGAATGATGAACGGTTTCAAAACCTCATGACAGTTCAAATGGTTGCTGTTGTTGTAGCGGTTCACGAGCCCCGCTTAGAGACATGTTTAAGCAATCTAAGTCGCCCAGGTCATCTAATGCGAGATCCAGGAAACGCACCGGAGTTGACCCATATCTTATTCGACCAAGGACTATCACCCTTTCAGCGATATAACCTCGTTTAAGTCAAACAATACCAATGCTATTACGCATTGCTAGCCACTCAGCCAATGCCGAGAACTCAAAAGATGTATTGTTTTTTTACACTTCACTAACCGAGTTTTTATATAAAATAATATTGAAAGAAATTATAAAATAAATTCGCTACTATTCTAGCTGATTTGATGTTATGTTTTCTGAACTTTTATGTAATCGTTCGAGGTTATGTTTACAACATAACCTCAAATTGAACGTTAATCGCTGAAAGTTTACTGTGCATAACTCCTAAACAGAATGTTATTTACAAATGGATAATGAAAGCGCGCGCCTTATATATATATGTATGTATGTACATAAATAAATCACTCATAATTTATGGCATATGTATGTACATAGATAAACTAATTCATTTTCATAGTTGGCATAAGTATGCGTGAATTAAAAAAGGCCGTGTTAGCCAACACCATCCACCAAGCGAATCAAATAAAACAAGCGAATTTAATGATCTTGTGTAGAATTCGCAGCGCATATCTACATACATACATACATAGTGTACATACGTACATATCCATATGTATACTACGCCGATGCCAAGCAACTATTTATAGCCGCTGCAAGCTGGCTCGATCTGTCATAGTAATCTTAACAAAAGCAAAATTATGAGAGCAAACCGAAAACAAAACTAAAAACCAGGCAAGGAGCAATAAAATAATAAAATTCCGCAAATACAAAATGCGTATGAAATGCCGAGAAATATGTATGTATGTGTATGTAAATATATTTAAATAAACGAAAAACGATTTTCAATTTTGTATGTATTATAGTTTTTATTTTAATTTTTATTTGTACATATTCTAGTTTTTTTTTTTTTATTTTTAATTTTAATTTTATTTTTATTTTGCATAAACACACATTTGTATGTACGTATGTACACATGTATTTGCATTTGTTTTAATATAAACTAATAACGTTTCTGTTGTTACTTCCGACGACAAATAATATGCACACACGTTTATATGTATATATATATTTTTTTTTTTTAATTAATTATAGTCATAATAATCTCTTTGCTAATAAATTTGAAAATAAAAATTTAAATTAAATGAATGTTTAAAATTCTAAATACGCACAAATACTAAATTACATATATGTATGCCTATGTATAGGTATGTACATGCCTTTAAAGATTTACATAAATATATGTATGTATATATGTATATGCAACATAAAATTTGCTCAAAAATGCATTTGTTTAAATTTCTATATAGCCTTAATACATTGAAATAATCTCTTTTCAGGGAATAACATATTTGTGATTTATGAGTATGAGTAAATTAATCGAAGTAGATCATTTTGCAACTTGCAAGAACACTTTGAATTTACAATATTTGTGTAGTGGATTTTCAGAAATGGCAGAAAGATTTATATATATATGTATATACATATATATAGGGTATATACATAAGCAAACAAATATTTTAAAATTTAAAAAAATCACTCAAAGGTTTGTTGGAAATCGTTGTTAGCAAATATTGCCTTCTAGCCAGCGCTCATACCACACTCTTCTATAGTAGCTGAGGAATAACCTCGTTTTTTTATGTTTTTTTTTTTTTTTAAATTAATTTCTTATATAACTAAAGTTGTGGCACAAAATTTTTATTTCTTAGTCATACCATTAGTTTGTATATTTATGTATGTGAGTTTACTAAATAAAAAATATTCATACACAGCAAAGCATACTAGTTGGTGAAAAAAAAATTAAAAATATAATTAAAATGTTAAAAAAAAAAATATTTAAATTTCATACATGCATTTATGTATACTGTCTAATGTATTATATTGTATAGTTTTAACACTTTATACATAATATAATTTTTTTTTTTGCATTTTTTGTATTGAACTATTAAATTTTTCTTTGCTTAAGAATTATGCATTTCAATTTTGTGGCTATCAAAGTCATTTAGGTAAAGCCCTTGACATTGACATCGGCATGTGTAATGGTGTTTGTTGGGTATGTTGCTGTTGTTGGTTTTGTTGTTGTTGTAGCATCTGTTGTTGTTGTTGTTGTTGTTGTTGTAAGTGTCCTGGCATTATTGGTGACTGAGGTGCATGCAACATTAACTGTGCATGCGGATGCGAATGGGGATGTACATGTGGATGTGCATGCGGATGTGATGGTTGGTGTTGAGTATGTAATGTTGTGGGCTTTGGTAATTGTGGTTGCAGCGGTTGTGATTGCACTATATGTGGTGGCAATTGTTGCGCTTGTAATGGATGTGGTTGGTGTTGTGGTTGCATGTTACTATGTAATGGTATTGATTGTGATTGTAACGGATGTGGCTGCATGGTTGGTAATGTTGGAAATGATTTTTGTTGTAATTGTGATTGTGGTTGTGGCTGTGGTTGTGGTTGTGGTTGTGGCTGTGATTGTGGTTGTGGCTGTGATTGTGGCTGTAAGGATTGCGATTTTAACGGATGTCCCACTGTAAGAGGTTGGGCTTGTGTTGGTAATGGTTGTGATTGCTGTTGCAGTTGTGGCTGTTGCTGTTGTTGTTGTTGTTGTGTTGCTTGTGTTTGTGGTTGCGTTTGTTGTGTTTGTATTTGGGACTGCGGTTGGGTCTGGGGCGGTTGCGGTTGTGGTTGTGATTGCGAATGTGATGTACTAGAGTTGCCTTTACTCGGTGTATTGTTGCCTAGAAAATCAAACAAAAAAGTAAATAAATTTCGAAATAAAAATAAAATTAAAATGTATACAATTCAATTAATAAAAAATACTTTCAAATACATATTTAAATGTATATGCATGTTATGTACGAGTGTGTATGTGTGTTAAAGCGTCCCTGCAGGGAAAAGGTAGACCAGTTTACATACATTCTAGTTAAATACCAGTATTTTGTAAACGAAATCATGCTAGTTTGTTTAAAACCAGAATTATACTAGTATATAATGGGCAAAAATATACTAGTTTGCCATAGACTAGAATTATACTAGTTTGCAAAAGTTCTGTATATCTATGAACTATTTTGCAGGCAAATTCATACCAGCTTGTCGTCCAGCAAATAAATAAAAAGAATTGACTGGAAGCTCCGGCTACACATTATCAGACTTTGAAGTTTTTTTGTTCTGGTTTATATCAATAGTTTTTTATGATATTTTCGTTTTCAATATAAGAATTAGAATAATGTTTTTGTTTCAGCATATGCAAATATGTTTTTTTATGAAAACATAAAATCAAAAAAAAAAATGTATATTTAAATAAATACATTCAATATACAAATACAGAAAGTTAGGTGAGTAGTAGCATTTTGTGAGTAGTTGCAATAAAACGAACTGCTTTTTGCTTGGTACGATGCAGAGTGGTCGGAGACGAACTAGTTCTCAACTGGTATGAAGGAACCAGTATTTCAACCAGTTCATATGAGCTAGTATTTAAACAGTGTGAGACTAACAGTTGACAATTCGTCAGTTATCGCCGTCGAAAAAATTCTCGTTGCTGACATGGAAAAAAGATGGAAGATGTGCTAGTTTTATTCTAGTTAACAACTAGAATTCTTTCGTATTTCGCCGGGATGTTAAGTATTTATAAAAATATGAATACTGGTAGTGTTAAAAAAAAAAGAAAAATTTAAACAAAATCAAAAATATCTACATACATATGTACAGTTATATTTAAAATAGGCCTACAGTTGTTCGGTATTTTTTAAGAGCTACATATTTTATAAGTTTTCATAAAACGAACAATTCAGCGCTGAATTGAATTGAAATGAAATGTGAGTTATACCTTCACACGGTGTAGACGTGTAAAGCAATTTTATCCTGTAGACGGTTACCAACGTCTAGCAGAAATATATCGGAAAAAAATTTATTTTGTGTTTTTCCTTTAATTCGACCTTAAGCCGACAAACAAATTGCCTTTAAAAGAAAAATAATAATTTCTATGTCAAAAATGGAAGAAAAAAAAAACAGGTCAACATTTTTTTTTTTTGCAAATTATATTGAATTTTAAATAAATATTGGCCCTAATGTACAAATATAATATATCACTACCACTAAGTAACGATTATCAAACTCACCTGCTGTTGTATTTGATAGAAAACGTTTCGTTTTGTCCAGTATGTAAGGCAAATTGTAACCATCCTTTGTGTAGCTGAAATGTTAATATTTTTGAAACGGTAATAAATCAATTAAAAACTTTGAGTTTCACGTAAGAAGCAATAAAACAGATTTTATTCATTAAAAATAAATTAATTAAATTTAAAAATTTAAGTCAAATTGAAATTGAAATAAATTCCCAAAGCTGAATACTTACATTTCCGTTCGTTTGGTGCAGAAAAGATTTTTGAAATTGCTATAAATGCAAAAAAGCGTAAAAGTGGGTAGACCTTGGCCCAAATAACGTGCAAACTTAATTTGATCTGCCTTATTTAAGCCACTTTGATTGAGTGATAAAAATGGTCGATGATCCTGAACGTCGTATTCCTGCATGGGTTGGAGAGGAAAATGGAAATTTTGAAATTTTGGAGCTTCTTTATATTGTAAAATTAGTATTTAAAATAGTGCGAATTAAAATATATAAATTTTTGTCAAACAATCAGTTCGAATAAGTTAGAGAATTAATTAATTAAATAGACTTAGCTGATCTGCTTTGGTTAGTGAAAATAAATACAGTTTATTCTACTTTTTGCCTCAAAAAAAAGTAGAATAAATTTGTTTTATTCGCACTTACCAAACCAAGTCCGCGAAATTCTAATTAATTAATAAAATCTCTAAAATATATAAAAATAATAAAAATATTTTTTCCATAGCATATTTTTAGGAGTCTCGTCGAAAGAAAAAATCTTAAGCTTCATAAACCAGAGAATTTACAATAATTATTATAAATTCTCTGTCAACCTTTGCTTGCAGTCGATTTCAGCAAATCGCCCACTAATTTAATGTAGGAGTTTTTAAACATACATATATATAATATATCCATTTACACACGGTCGAACACTTCATTTGAATTAAATTTTGTACTTATTGAAGCTTCGATTTTTTTTCTAATTTTTCCCCAAAAATTATTGATATATATATATATATATATATATATATATATATATATATATATATATATATACTTGTGTTGTTTTCGATTTATATCCACCTTATTTATGTCTGTCTCCTTATGTAAATTGTTCAACTACAAACATACATAAGTAGTTATGCTGATTATGCCAGACAACAGATTAATTGTTACTGAGGATTTATTGCTCAAATATTCTACAATTCATGAAAATATTTTATAATAGAAATTTTCTAAAAATATGTCGTATAGCTGCGCATATAACCGTAATTTATGTGCTACTAAATACATATGTATGTATATATGCTTTTGTGTTTATATGTAAATACAATTTATTATATCAATTTCGTGGTTTCAAAAGTACAGTGCTGTAGCATGACATCTGTCAAACCAAACATGTTTGGTGTTAAACGAAAAGTCAACCATTTATGAAAATGGATTGCTTAACAACAGCACAATGCGTTAAAATTGTTAAAACCTTTTATAAAAATCGTGGTTCAAACGTGGCTTTAATGGGTTATATCCACTTTCAAAAGAAAATAAATGATTTCCTTTGTATTTTTTTTTTGAGGGATTTATTCTATAAATGAAGAGAGAAAATGTTAAAAGACGGAATTTAAGGTAGTTTGACATTAAAGGATTCATTAAAATTGTAATTTTTTTTTTTTGAGGAATTTATTCTATAAATGAAGAGAAAAAATGTTAAAAGACGGAATTTAAGGTAGTTTGACATTAAAGGATTCATTCAAAAAAATATTGTATCCTCGTGCTCCAAAAAAGGTGTCTAGCGGTGAGGAAGATATTTCTGCTTGAAACCCAAACATCAAAAAAATTTAGTATTATATTCGAAGAATACAGGTAATGATCGAAGGAATAGTGAACATTTTATTTTTTGACAAAAACAAATTGACAAATTCTGCTTTTCAATGTCGCTTAAAAATCGAAATTATTGTCAAAAATCTTTTTACTTCGATCATTGTATACTTTTTAGTCTTAGAAAGTCGAGTAAAAATTTTAAGCCGATCGGTACAGCCGTTTCAGAGAAATTTCCCTCACCGACTCTGAAAACAGCGTTTCTAGAAAAACGCATTTAAAGTTTTCCGAACCAATTACACTAAGTTAAACTACTCTGCCTTGCGCTTCGCCTATTTTCGAACACCACGAGACGCCCTTAATGATACGATCATATCATATCTCCTATTTGCTGTTTGTCGCATCAACTTCAGATTTTCGGAAAATATATGTGCATTCGAATAATTAAAAAAAAAATTGAAAATTACAAGTGTATATAACCCCTTAAGCAATTGGAAACATTATAATGATACATACGGTTACAGATATTGTAAGGTCTGTGCATCATCGTTTTGCGTTCCCATGAGCTAAGCACCTGCACTTGAACTTTCATACATCTATAGCCATATAAAGTTCAGCACATGGAACAACTGAAGTCAGCTGATTATTCACAACGCCGTAAATACATAAGTCAATTGGATGCTTAAACAACACGTTGTGGTCGCTGATTATTCGAACAAAAATTTCTTCAGCGACGAGGCACATTTCTCATTCGCAGGATACGTAAAAAGGCAAAATTGTCGCATTTGAAGTTCCAAGTAATTGAGAAGACGCCATAATACCCAAACAAAACTTACTGTTTTGCTCTGGTGCGCTCTTTCGTCCGGAGGTGTGATTGGACGATACTTCTTTAAACGAAACAGCTGTTTCCAAGGAACCAAACGATTGATTCGGATATCCACTGTAAACAGTTGTACAAATTGATTACATCCAGCAACGAGAAGCGGTCAGAATTGGTCAATCGTTAAGGTGTCATATTCCGCCAGGACAATGTGGTCTAGCATCTTTGGTCAGTCGCTAAAAACTGAGAGAGCTTGACTGGGAACTGTTGAAACATCCACCATATAGCCCTGACCTTGTACCGTCAGACTACCATTTTTTTCCATCTTTGCAGACCTCATTAAATGTTAAAACTTTCGAAAATGACGAGGCTATAAAATCGCACTTGGTTCAGTTTTTTTGCAGATAAAGCAGAAGTGCTATGAGCGTGGATTAATGATGTTGCCGAAAAGATGGCGAAAGGTCACCCAAGAAAATGGAAATTACATAATCTTTTCTAAAATCGCCGGTTTCTTTTGGAGCAACCCAATATTATACGAGGTGTGACAATTAAGTAATGAGACTGATTTCATAAAAACCGTCTATTTCAAAATTTTTCTACAACTCGGCCATCCCCTTCAAACTAGTCTCCCTTGGGCAGCTATACAACAATTCTAACGCCTTTTCCATGTTTCGAAACATTTCTGGAACGCTTCGACTGGAATATCCGCAAGTAAACTCGTCACGACTGCCTGGATGCCCTCAATAGACTCAAAATGGGCTCATTTGGCCACCGAATTTGTTCTAGGGAACAAAAAAGGTCACAGTGTGACATATCGGATGAATAAGGCGCTCCCTTTAGAGGCCAAACACTGGGACACGCTGAGGGCGGTGTGGCACGGCACATTGTCGTGATTAAGGATCCAGTTCCCAGCGATACTTGGCTATAGGAGACTTCCATGCTTTCACGACCATCCTTAAACTCTTTATGCGATTGAAATACCTGGTCACGGCTAAGAGCACTATCACCATGCACTTTTACAATTTTAGCGTACGCTTCCGAAGGTGTTTCGCCCAATTTGGCGCAAAATTTTATACTGACGCGTTGCTCTTGATTTCGCTTTTCCATTTTCGTGACGTTCACTCAGCACGACACAAAAGGCATACTAAACAAGTGAGAGCGATGGCGAATATATCAGTGGAGTTGCCGGGAGAAGGGAAAAGGAATTTAATGGACGCAGGGTTAGCACAATCGCGGCAATATAATAAGTCTCATTACATAATTGTCACACCTCGTATTTAATAAGTGGGGTCCATTAGTTTTTCTCTCTGCTATACGGAGGGCTCTTCTTAGTAGGCATATTTGTTTTTCTGGCTTCATCTTCTTCTAGAAATATTCCGCCTACTCGTAAGGGTAGAGTACTTAAAGAATGATGTCTGTTTTTTTGATATGGAATGATTTTCACAGAATACACTTAAAATCTTGATAATCAGTAAGACAAACAGATGAATAGATCTGCTAGCAAAAGAGAAGGTACTCCTAGTTATTAGATGGCCCAAGAGCATGCATCAGCTTCTTTGCAGAATATGGACGGACGAAAGCATACCCGACGATTGTTGTTTTCGTATGTTAGGCCCAATCTGAGCGTATTGTGTGAAAGACTAAAACCCATCATCAACAAACTGATTGGACCTTATCAGTGTGGCTTTAGATCTTGTATATCCAATTCATCATTGACCAGATATTCAACATGTGCCAAAAGACCTTTTCATAAATTTTAAAACAGCCTTTGACAGCACAATAAGAAGATTTCTCAACCCAGCTGTGTCTGAATTTGATGGCCCCGCAGAAGTTGTACAGCAGTGTAAGCTGGACAACACAAGATGGCCGTTCGGTACGGAACGAGGTTTCAGATAGGATGACTCTTAATGGTGTGACTTCTTTAATTTGATGGTGTAGAAAATAATAACAGCTGCAGAGCTAAATAGACAAAAGACAATATTTTACAAGAGTATACTAGTGCTGGCTTGTGCCGATGATATTGATATTATAGACCATAACAACCGCGACGTGAGTTCTGCTTTCCCAGCCTAGATAAGGAAGCGAATGAGTCTGGTAGTGAACGAAGACTAGACGGAATATCTCCTGTCATCAAACAAATCGTCATCTTATTCACCTCTTGGCTCTCATGCCACTGTTGACAGTCATAACTTTGAAGTCGTACATAATTTCGTCTATCTTGGAACCAGTACTAACACCAAAAACAATATCAGCCTTTAAATACAACACAGTATCATTATTGCCAAGAAGTCCTACTTTGGATTGAGTAGGCAATTGAAAAGTAGACCAAACTCTACGTGTCGCTCATCATTCCCGTCCCGCTACATGGTGCGGAGGCATGAGCGATGATGACGGCTGATGAGTCGTCGTAAGAAGTTTTCGAGACAATAGTTGTTCGTAAGTTTTCGGACCCTTTGCGCATTTTGTAAATAACAGTACAATTAAGAACAATTAGGATAAGTTCTAAAACACATGGGCATTTAGGTTCAGACACTTCAGAAACTAAGCGGGTGTCGAGCTTCCTTTTTTTTGAATGCACGATAATTTAGCATTTATTTTTATCAACTTTGAAATAACTGCAAAACATGTTCTTCTTCTTCCTCTTCTTGATGCTTAGCTATAAAAAGTTATTATTTATGACAATATTTTATCTTTTCCTTTTGCATACAGCTTGGATACTATTTATAAAGTTATATTTAATATATACATATATATATATAATACTACATATGTATATACAATTCA